CCTTAATTCTTCAGAGCCTTCGTACCTGCCATAGATACCTAAGTAAATTAAGATTGCTATAAAGTATCGAAGAATTATAATTATCACTGAAATCACAGAAGAAAAATCTCCAGTCAATTTCTAAATCACTCGATTTTTTTTTTTCAAATTATGTATTAGATCGGCTATCGTCTTCATGAAAACTAGAGTTTTCTTATTTCAGTGACTTCATGACACCAAATTTTATTCGTAAGGCTTTTCTAACACGACACAAATGAAGTTTTCCACATTGTAACGTTCGATTTGTGTGTCTTAAACGAGAACTCAACATTTTCATATGATTTATATGGTTGCTTGCCATTTTATGAATATTAATACTCGTAGTTGATAGAGTTGTAGAGATGTCAACAGATTTATTTCCTGAAAGTATGAAATTAAACTTGTAAGGATAAACTACCCATAGAAGCGACTAGTTTATTAATACAATGGACTCCATCAACCTTAAATTAACTATGACCACGACAATAATGACAGTTGTAAATAGATTAATCACAGTAGCAAATATATCTTATCAGATATTTAGCGTCCCTGCCTACTTAAACTTAACTATATTTATTTATTTTACAAAAATAATATTTGTGTCGTGTAAAAGCTTCGCTACCTGTTTTCACGTTGAGTTTTTATCTCTAATCGATTGTATGTAGCTATTGTACTGATCCAGATGTAGGCTTAAAAGTATTTATATGACAAATCAATTGTATGATAATAATATTATGTATATTTATAGTCTGCTAATAATATGACTATAACATGTCGCAATATAAATGAATTTAAGAATCTTCAAAATTACACACGACGAATTCTGCTACAATCCCAGCTCCTAATCCGTTTATTTAAATTATTCTATGTATAAAGGGACAAAACTTTGTAGGGCAATTTTGCCATCATTTGTTATAGAAACAATCAGAAATAATGACTATATGTACCTACCTACGAGTCCTTAATTTACTTTGAGTAAGTAATTTACTCACTTGCCTAAGTACTTCTATATTTAAATAGTTTTTTAAGTTATGTTAAGATTTTTATTGACCTTAAAAGACCAACTGTCTCAAAGTCTTGAGGATCGTTCGTAACGTGATTTTGAAGTGGCTGCTTCATTTATGTTGTGACACGATACAAGGTAAGGATTTTTCACCTTTAAAAATAATTAAATAACTCTATTAAAACTTAAAAGTACGTTTGCATTTAGTATGCAACTGCAAGTAAGCGTTAAATTGGAAATTAATTAAGAATTGCTAAAAGGCATACAGCCTTACATCGTAAGAGTAAATTAATCGTCTACGCAATCCTTCAATTATTTACAATAAAGGACCAAAGTATATATGGAAAATTACACGTTTTATCTACAATGTATTTGAACATATCTTTACTAAATGCTACATACTTAATACTGTTAATCGTTCATTTATTAAAAACAGTCGCCGTTGGTGCTTTTCAGAAATTCTTCAGCTGAAATTATATTAGGTATTTTCAATGAGGCTTTCGTTAGTAAGTTGTTATTATTGCTAGCATAAAAACGCGGTAGACTTTAGAAATAGTTAATAGTTTTAAATAATAAGTAATTCTACTATTATTCTCCGTTTGTTAAAATTTTTTGACTTTTATCGTTAGGTACCTATTTTGTTATCGTTATATAAATGTTGTAACTTTACAAAATTGTTATGCAACCTGAGTGTCTGATCGATCGAACAATTGGAAACAGTAAGTAGATCATGATTATGATTTGTATGTGTGGGCAATTAATGTAAGTCTTAATCATTTGGTTACTCCTATATTATTGTCATTTAAATCAAAATTGGATTTTTAATTATTTGATTTTAATTTCGCACAAAAACAAATGATGGAGTTTCCTTCAATTACGTATGCGGCTATTTAGTTTAGTCTAAAATAAGTTTAATTCTATTGAATTTTCTTCGTTAATTAGTATCTTCAAATCAACGATAAGTAAACGACTTAAATATTAAATCCCTTTCATAAAAAGTGATTTAGGAGATAAATAAATGAGTAAAAATGTTTTGATTACTTTGGAATTGCCTAACCGCCTTATTGTATTTAAATAATAAGATTTAAAATGGTAACTAATATTTAAGTGCTACTAAACATAATCGACTAATGTTTGTCAAAAGTCTCGGTTTAAAAAATAGGGAGTGCCCAGCCGGAAAATGATGTAAATGGCATTCTTTGTAAAAAAAAGTACAGACAACCACTGGTTTCATGTGTCTAAATTTATTTATGTTATTGTAGTGGGTGCCTACATAATTATTATTAAAGATTTCTTTCTGAAGAGTCAAAACTATGTACCTTGTCAATATTGTGTATATTGAGCTCAATTCTGAGATCGACTATTTAAGTTTACTTCTTTTTTATATAGATTAAAATTTTAAAATAATTTAATTATTGTTATTAGATGCTATAAATTAGAAATAAAAGAGTGTCATGACTGAGAGCACTTCATTTGTTATAATGTACCTACGGCATACCTCCCAAATAAATAGGATGACTTAATTTGTTTATTTTGTGCACAGATTTAAACAATGAATTCTGTGTTGTTAGTAATAAATACTAATATGCATATTTAAGCGTTTTCAATATCATCGATTGAACCTTTTAATAGAACTTTAGAACCCTCAAGATTCTGCGAGTTGTAGTTAGGAACATACTCTAAGATATAGTAAGTATGAATTAATGTGGCAGTAGGAACATAATACTTAAATAAATAACTTTACGGCAAGGTATAACTCTAAAACTATACGACGCGGTGGATCATCCTAGTTGTCATTTTCTAGAAAGTCTTCATTAGTCAATTAACGTGTTTGAAACTACAAAGTTTTAATTGAAACGAAGAAATTCATAATTTCAAATTGGATTATTCTTCATAGAATATTTGAACTCATAAATAACACCAAAATATATTTAAAAGGCATGTATTTAAATGATCTTTTTAAATTAGCAAAAACGGCAAATAAAAAAATCTAAATGGTCATCTATTTTAATGATTGATCCTCTTTCTTTGAGACATAAAATAAATAAAATCGATCGATATTTTAACCTCTTTTGAACTACGCAAAAAAAATTTGAGATGTAAAAATTATAACTGATCGTTACTTGTTGGTCCTCAAAAATAAAAGAAATGAGCACCAAATATTCAATATTGTGATACTTTTTTAAATAATTCGATTTGTATAAATTATTTTTTGTCTATATCAAATAATCTTCAAAATAATAATGTTTTGGTACTTATTTTTATTAAGTTGTAGTCAAAGGACGGAAACTATTTAAAGGCACTTGATGTTCAAAGATTTTTTTTTATTAAAAAAGCATACTTAACACGTTCACACTGCGTTATCGGGTCGAATTGACCTTAGGTGCTGGATGCGTTGGTGCGGGATGGATATATTCGGTCTTTTCAGTAGTACGAAAGATAAATATTGTTTTGCAATTGTTTCGTCAAACACAGTAAATATTTGAAAAAAAAACTTATCAGGTCCTTACGACCCGATGTCGCACTAAAAGTAAACAAATATCATTTAGTGCTTTTATCGTGTCTAATCGACCCGTTGACAGATGACTTTATGGTCACTGATCACGGTCGAGATCGGTATACTAAGAGAAAATCAACCTTGCGATTTGAAAAAAAATAAAGAGGTAAAAATTATGATGGGTTCATGGATGTCAGAAGTAAGAAATTATTGTACATAGCGCCTCTAGTCCCAAACTAAGCAAAGCTTGTAATTTAAACAAACATGGCAATGTACCTACCATTCTGCTTGCTTATTGGCCGCTAAGCCCTTGGCCAACTCAGTAACCAATGACGGACGATTGTCACTCAACCACAAAGTACCGCGTAAATTTAAAGATATTTTTAATTAAAAATATTAACCAATAATATTTTTTGCTAGATCAAATATATTTTAAAGTTGAGTTATACATAGATCGAAATGTATTTATTAGGTGATCAATATTAAAAGGCAAACTTGATATAAAAATCATCAAATTAACAAAATTAAAGATCAATAACTAAAAAAGAGGATCAAATATTATTTTTGTTTACCAAATATTAAAAGAGTATGTTAAACATAAATATTATGTTACCTTTAATGAAGATCATTCATAATTTATCCATAGATCAACTTATATAGACCCAATAATTAATATAAAGATAAAATATAATAAAAAACATCATTTATTTTTAAAAGTGCACATATAAAAAAGATCAATTAGTTTTTAGAGGATCAAATAATATTGTCCCTATTTAAAATACCAGAAAAGAACTATTCATAAACTAAAAGTTCTGACTTTGACTAGTTAATTCTGCGATAACCGCGCCATCTAGCGTTACATTAATTACTCCTACTTCATTCACTAGATGTCACTAAGTGTACTGAAAGTAAAAAGACGTGAAACAAAGAGATCGTCTATCCCTCTCGTGGATTTATCATGGCGGAGTTCGGGAGCTAGGGCAGGTATAAAGTTTAGGTGTGTGCGTGCATGCGGATACAAAATTTCACGTTTGACCACTCTGAGCGCGCACACATGCGCATCTCAGCGGGCGCGCGGGGCGCGGGGCGGAACGTCCGTGAAGTTGTGTCAGCATATGCGCAAACGAGGTGCGCATTCGTCGCGTGCGTTGTCGAGATTCTTTGTGCCATTCTTCGCATACCAATAAGAGTATATTCTTTAAATTTACTCATAAATTGACATTTTATCAAAATTCGCCCCTTCACTTCATCTTCGAACACCATTTTAGGTAAGTGGAAAATACTTTTTGAGTGATTTTCATACATTTAACCCGAGATTTTGGTGATTTTTATTCGGGAATGTCAACAATGCGATCGCGATCCTGCAATATTTTACATAGTTGTCGTGTTTGCTTCTCTGCGACTTCCGGTCGTTCGGGTGTCGGCATTTCGCGATGTAAACATTATCTAGTTTTGAGATTTGGCCGCATTTGGGTGAGCCGTCGGGAATGAAGTGTGCTCGAGGTGCTTTTGTGTTGTTAATTTCGCCTGAGTGTGCTTACTGTGATGGCGCAATTTTCGAAAGACGCGGTATGGTATCGTTCGCCCGCGATACACTTCAGTCGCGTTTGTGGCTGCACGCGATTTGACGTATTCTGCGCGCTGTGATGTCACTTGTCAGCTTATTTTATGAAATGTCAAACGTTTTACATGTAATTCGCGAGTGAATGATAAACAAATTGACAGTGAAATTATTGTTCATGAAGTGATATTATTAACTGAGTGACATGGACTGTTATTATTCGAAATTTTACCCGAGGCGTGAGTATTTATTACGAATTATTCAAAACAAACAAACAAATACTTGAGATACTTGTGTGCATTCTTAGCATACTTTTTACATTTTTGCCGGGAAATACAAAAGGATACGTGATAATTTCGGAAAATTTTATCATAACTTATTACGGATTGCCTATTACTGTACTTTTAAACTTTTTAATTACAATGAAGGTTTAAAAAATCTTTAAAAATATTTTACATATATAATTAATTATAATTTTAAATAATACGAATACTACTTACAATTACAAAACATAACTTATTAATCTTATTATTTTTAACACAACTTTCGGCACCCGGCGGCGGCAGCTTGAATTAAATTTAAAAGCCGCAGTGTAATTATTTAAGCCAAAACGAGTTTCGGAATGTTTCTAATGAGTAATGAGAGTATTAATATTTTCCTTTTACATATTTTACACAGTAAAACATTTTTTAGCTAACGAAACTCTTGCGTAACTTGGTAAATCTCTATAAAAAGTTGGTAATCACTGAAGTTTTTAAAATTTTGGTAAAATTCAAAATTTGTGTCTTTCATCATAATACCTAATTTATCAATTAAAATAATATAATTCTGTAATCACTTCCGGTTACCGGGATCTTCAATTGCAAATAATTTTGCCGCGCATCAGCCTTATTGTCTATTTATTAATATTAAAGATAAAATTTTATTGTTTTAAAATTAAAACAAAGCAATAGATTTTGGTTTATATTATAGCAACACAATTAAAATATTATGTAACTATTCACTAGATATTGGTCGGATCTAATAAAATGCAGTTGCAGCGTTTTACATTACAGTCGCGTGCTAAATAATCAATTAATTTCTTTAACATTAAGTAGGTACTTTATAATTGTTAATTTTTTAAACATGTAGGTTAGTATAAAATGGTTTACTTGCGCGTTTTTCAATATTTAAGTAGAGACAGTACGATGCATTAAATTACTATCTTTTGTGAGCTTACAAATACACATTATAACTAGTCATTATAACATTTTAGTAATCCTTTCATATTGGGGAAATTTAACAAGCATTTTGTAGAATTATACGTAACTTAATAAATACTAAAAAGTAAAAGTAACTTACTTCCTACATATTAAGAAAATAATTTGAGTTTTGAACCAATTATTTCAGATTTTTATCTTTTTGGTTACATATTATTATTGTTTATTTGTAGCACATGATACCTACTGATAATAGGTAATCTTTAAACACTAGGTACTATATCTGTCTGTCTGCTACCTACTTCAGCTACTTTATCAATTTTCTTATATTTGTATTTTTTTTGTTTTGACTACACATAGTCTACCTACTTAATTATGATTAATTTGTTTATGAATATTTATTCATATTGTGCCAAATTGTTTTTTGTTTGTCCATTAACACACTGCATAGTTGACAAAATTACTAATTGGTTAGAGTAGTGTGGAAAATAATTAAATCATTGTTATGATGCTCATATTGAAATAAAAATAAACCAAGATCAATCTATGCTTGGTGTTTCTTTGCGAGATCGAATCAGAAATGAGGAGATCCGTAAACGAACCAAAGTCGCTGACATAGCCCGACGGATTAGCAAGCTGAAGTGGCAATGGGCAGGGCACATAGTACGCAGAACTGACGGCCGATGGGGCAGAAAGGTTCTGGAATGGAGGCCGCGTACCGGGAAACGCAGCGTGGGACGTCCACCTACAAGGTGGACCGACGACATCGTAAAGGTAGCAGGGAAGCGCTGGACGCAGACCGCTGCCAATCGATCAACATGGAAAGCATTGGGGAGGCCTATGTTCAGCAGTGGACGTCCTATGGCTGAAATGATGATGATGATGATGAAGATCAATCTTAGAAAGTGGAAAAAATCGCCAGGTTTTCTTACTTGCCGTTTTCTAAGAGGCTCTAATTTTTTTCTTTTATTTCCGCAAAACATAAAATTCTTACTGGCCGTCAGAATTAGCTCTATACTTCTTCTCTTTAATGAAATAAGCCCTAGTAAAAAATATTTTGGCGCGCATCATTATCACACCCTCTTCCTGTATTTAAGTACTTATTTGATCTCTTATTATAAAACGCCTAAACTATCATTATTTAATTCTATAAATCGCCTACTTATCAAAGATGACTGAACGCCATGTGGTACCTATTCATCATAACTCTTGGCTTAATTATGTGGTTATTATACACTTGATACTTAAGAGAAAATCAAGGCACTTCTCCTATGTAACAACGCATCAGAGCCCGCAGAACATTCCCATTATTTGCTTCATTCAGCGCTACCTGTGCAAGTAGTGCGACATAACACTGTTCTCCGGAGATAGCGAACCGCTTCACTTACAGTCTTACAGTATATCTGTCGGACTCTCGAATGGGTGCCAAGAGTTATTTTGGTCAATACGGTTGATGTTTTTATTGCACGTCGCGACGCCGCCCCGAAGCGCACGACAAGCAATAAGACGTGTAAACTGCTGACGCCTCGGGCCCTCACGCGGCGTCACATCTAATGGCCGATTCAGAACGATTTATCACGTATTCTGTCTTAGGGAAATTGAATTTAGCCCCATTCGCTTCTCCGTCGACGGTTATTACTTTCCTTGATTAAACTCTTCCATTTTTATACAGATTCCCTTAATGTACTACAACGTGAATCCCATTCTAGAGTTTATTGTTACCGATTCTGACTCTCGAGTTTACAGCTTCAAGTGAAACGTCAATTTTGCTCAAAGCGAAGTTGCAACCGATAATTGAATCGGAGCGTTTGCCGTCGATGTTCGTTCGAATTCAAATTATCCAAAATATCAGATGTAATAATGAACTAATTTGTTCAATTATATGCGCATAAATTACTCACGCTACCGCTCAACTTTCACGGAGTCAAAGTTGCAAAGTGGAACTTGTGTGAAGTGCACTAAGTGATGTTGTCCAAAGTTGCATACACGCGTGCTTAATTGAGGTGCGGTTGATGCTCGCTCCGGATGCTGTAATCGTAGAGTCCTGTCCATTCACTTGCACGAACTTGGTGGGTCCAACAAAGAGGCAAACAACATATTGCAGCGTTCATGGACACGCGATAGCTCGACTTTTGCTTTTCGCCAGTAACATGCGACAGGTCTCAAGGTAGAGTTTACATTATAAGTTTAAATTGCACGATTTATACACTGTTTCTTTACTAAGACAGTTTCCTTGTTAGCATTTGCTGTTGCAACTGAGATTGAGGTGCGTGCTTATTTTACATCATGGTCAATTTTATGAATTTGTTTGTTGTTTCAATCCGGCTCTCGTTCAAACGAAGTTGCAACACTAAATACAATATTAATGTTAACGTCTGCGGAACATGAAATACCTACGTTGAAATTGCTCTCGCTAGCACCTTTACTTCCTCGAATTGAATGTTCATTGTCTTCGATTAAACTTGCTACCGTTGTACGGTTCAAATAATAAACTAGTAGAATTCGCCAGGAGCTCATCTCGGTACAAAACATCCCTTCCCATGTCATTAAGTACACTCTCACATAACACGGCGTAATCCTAACGCGCGGTATTGAATGACAACGGCCGACCACCGTGCGCGGTTACTACCTGCTCCTATTGACCCGAGGGTTCCGTAAGCCCCGAACAACCTTCCTGACCACGAATCAAATTCATTCAGTGGAAGGTGCCGGCGTTAGTTACGGCATTTACGATTTATTGCCATTATAAACACCTGACGCGTATTAAAAATAGTCATTCAGTTGCTACGTGATTGTTAGGAAAGTTACCGATAGTTTTGTTTTATAGCTCGTAAATTATGCGTCTTCTTTCTATAACGACGATATTGTGATCGTATTAATTAAACAAATCTTTCTTTGAGATGATTGAAACGAAGTAACCGTTTTGGCGTCTTGAAAGTTAAATGTCAGCACAGGTGCCACGATTTGTAAATCAGCGAAGACTTAATGCGGTCGTTTATTTTATTCATATTCCAGTGGAGACACCCTGTCTCTTTATAACACGAAAATTTGCGTCATGAAAACGTGAGCGTCGAAAAGTTCGCGTCACTGGCTGGAGATACTGCGGTGTCCAGCAGCCTCGCTCTATTCTCGGACTCCTATTTGTGGATTACTCTGGTGTGAAACCCTCGCATTGTCTGCACGAAATCAACCGTAATGTTCAACAGATAGAGCTGAAATCCACTAATAACCGCTCGCAACGCCCGACCTTCTTGAACCGTGGACCGAGCGAAAGGACCCACTCCTTGCCTCTTATTTATCTTAATTTCGCTCACCGAAGAAGTGACAAATGAGGATTATGTCTGTGTGAAATCGTGCCAGGTTCACTTTTAAAACGTTTTAACGCAAACGTCCATTTGAATAATATAATAAAGAGCATTTATAATTCGATGAGTTTGGGAACATTAGCAGCAAAATCATTACTATTCCGCCAAATCGATTTGGAACCAGAAATACTTGTTTGTCTTTGTAGTTGGCGACGCTAATGCCCGGCATTAACAAATATGTTTCATTAGACTCCACGAAGCAAGTTGTTAGTGCAACAATATTGACATGTTTCATTGTAAATCGTAACTTTTTTCTAATAATACAAAAATTAAATACTATTTTACTTTTTAATCGCAAAATGTTAAACTTAGATCATCCATTTACAAATCATGATGAAATGTAGAGTCGGTAATTCTGTTACCACAATTTAATATTATAGTTAAAAATTGCTATTGATATTCATCGATTAAGGTTAAGGTAATAAATGATTAAAAGTATTAACATAAGGATTATAAGAAAAAATCATCTAATACTAATTTCTCTCATTTTCCTTTGCTGAAAATTATATAGGAACAAAGCAGTCGGCCCGTTTTCACGCGACGCATCAACATTGTACTTAAATGTACATGGTGGCAATTGACTTCCATGTTTATTAATATAGATGCAAAATGTTCGCGACATATTGCGTTAGGAGCATTACAATGAATGCTCTCTGGATCGATGCACGGCGCAGG